TGCTGCTCCCCAGCGCGCTCCGCTCCTGGCTGTGCGTCCTGAGCTGCGTCTGGCTGCGCTTCGGAGAAGCCTCACGGCTCAAGTCTCCAGCTCTGCCCATCCAGTCGGAGAGAGAGCCGCTGCCCCACAAAGGCTTGTCAGGTAAGACTGAAGGAACAGCCGCAGCTGCAAAACTTTGTTCCCGTTAAAGTCTGGTACCATTTTTGGACATGCACCAGTACAGTGTGTAGAATGGTATTTGGTCCGGTATCGAACGATACCATTTAGTCTGGTCATATTTCCACAATTTCCACCTACACTGCAGTCACAACAAGGTCAGTGGTACCAATTGGAAATATATATGTATACATTTTGAGTATAATTGTTTATTTGCACAGCACAGAGTGCTGGTCAACAGCCGGGATCATAACGTAGGGCAATAGATTTTTGATTTAATTTTGATTTAAGTCTGAGCATCTGCAGGTCAAACAGTGCATGGTTAAATATCTGAGTGTTGATGCAGTAAAGGTTAAAAGTTTTCTGTAAAGAAACAATCTGTATTTCAGCCCATATTCGCATTTGTCTTTTAATTATTATTATTTTGTCTCCATTATCTCCATTAACACAGGCCCAGGTTACAGCCTCCCATTAGCTGCACACGTCTGTGAGCTGATTAACAGTTACAGCATTAGACCGTAGGCTACTACTTAAACCAGAATTTTATTTTTAGCCTTACTTTCCCTCACTTTAATAACAAACTAACTCTTGAAATTCCACGTAGTCCTCATCCTTGAAAGGTCCTGTAATTTCCAGGGTTGTTCATGTGTAAGACTAGCGGCAAACATCTGAGTCATAACCGCAATGATTTGATTCACGTGTGAAAAAAAAACCCTGCAGTTTTTATAAGGTAACAAAAGAGAATTTGCAAGTCCAGCATCTACCACCAGAGCGTGGATGTGGCTCTGAGCTGGGAAGCACAATCGGCCTACTTTTCTATTCAGAGGGCCTGCTATGGACTCATGGGTGATTTATTTGAGCAGAGGCAGAGGTGGCAGGCAAAGTGAGCGGCCTGCAGCTTGGCTCCCTTTAACCAGAGCACACTGTTTAAAGTGTGTAGTCATTTTAATGAAAGAATAATGTGAACCAGGTTGGTGGCGGTGAGCGAGGCAGGAGGTGACTAGTGTGTGAACACAGAGAAAATGTTTAGAAAAATGACGTCATCCAACGTTGTTCACATAAACATCACTTAGAATGTTTTACCACCCTCAATAATCATTCATTTTCGCGGTTGATAAATTCAATGTCCTACAAGGTCGACTTGGTCAAGCACTGCATGCCATCTAACTAATTCTTAACCTAGATTATTACTTGCATATCTGGGTTTGTGTGTATGTGTCATTGAGTCCCACCACACACTCGACCACCACCTAAATCCACTTATTCAAACCAGAAACAAAGTTATTATTTTCCTGTAATTACCCAGCATGCTGAGCAGTACAGTAATAACTACACTAAAAGTCATTTTTTATTGTCTGTAAAATGAATTTACCACTTTTTTTTTAAAGTAATGTGGCGTTTTTATAGCCAGAACACTGGATTTGAAGTGAAAGAAACAAAAGCCCCGAAACTCTTTTTATAGTCAGTGTTACTGATGTTAAACAAAGAGGAGTTGATGGGATTTGTTTGAACATGACATTTCAAAAAGAGAAGAATCCTGTTCTTTATTAACTTTAATGCGTATGTGTCATGTAGTTTTTGGTCTAAACTAAGAGTATTTTACCACAGCCTTCACTTATCTCATTAAATACCATGTTAAAATACAGCTGTGTAAATTGCGAGCTTCCATTCGTGTATTCCTAGGAACGTCTGATCATATTTGAGTGGAAAATTGGATTATTTTCTCCCTGCTCATGGATCATTTATCTGACAGGCAGGATGCGAGACCAAGTCCCAGAACCCAAGTGCCATCCAGGGAGTTTCGGTCTCCTCAGACATGCCTGGGCATCGAGTTGAGGAGGATTTATTTTGTAGAAAATACCAAAAATTGCGAAAATGATCCTGCCTGTGTAATTTGTCATCCCTCCTACACCATAACACTTAATAAAAAGCAGAGTTGTACTTATTTTTCTTTGGCTATTTCGTATAAAAGACTTTACGACCGCTGCCTTTAATGCATCCTTCTGTTCCTCTCGTAACCAGTTCAAGCTTAATTAAAAAGAACAAACCTCACGTGTGTAATCATGGGACTTTGCACAGTTTCTCATCAGGACAAAGTTTGGTTTAGAACGAGTCAGAGAACAGTGACAGAGATGTTTGAATGTGCAGCTCAGCACTGTGTTTCTCACAATGTTTGTCTTACAGGATGCTCATTTGGGGGGCGCTTCTACTCGCTGGCCGACACGTGGCACCCAGACCTGGGAGAGCCCTTCGGTGTCATGCACTGTGTCCAGTGCCACTGTGAACCAGTAAGTCTGATCTCAATCTGATCTCCAGGGGGATCCTCTGCAGAAATAAAACTATTTTTGTGATTTAATTAAAATTTTCCCAAATATCTGGGAAGTTGTATTTTCTAATCTTCAATGGAAAAAAAGGCCTTATGAGTAATAGATATTAATATTAATAATTTGTTAAATACTTCTAAGATTTGTAATATTCCCATTACAATGAAATATACCTTTTATAGGACAACTTTGTCTTCATGTCTTACATGTAGACAGTTTTTCCTTAAAAATTGAATTTTAATTTTGTAAACCTTGTTGCCATCAGTGTTTTTAACCCACTGAAACCCTGGAGACCCTTGGTAAAAAAAAATTTAAATTTTTTTTAAAAATGCAAGATGCCTCAAAATAAAAATATACATATGTTGTGTTTTAAAAGTCTGTGGTGATACACAAACTGACATTCACAGTCACCAAAGGCCTTTTTCTCATCTCATCTTATTTTTTCTTGTGTAGCAAAAGAGTCGTCGTGGGAAGGTGTTTGGGAAGGTCAACTGTAAGAACATCAAACAGGACTGTCCAGACCCTAACTGTGACGACCCGGTCCTCCTGCCAGGTCACTGCTGTAAAACCTGCCCCAAAGGTACTGCCACCATGAGCTCACACGTGAAAACTGCTACCCATGATGTAACTTCTGACTCTTTTTTAAAACAATAGAGGAACAAGTGAGCCTTGTGAAGGTCTGGATGAGAGGTCTTGTGTGGAAAATTTAGAAACAATTTTCTTCCCTCCTGCTGCAGCAGAGTTCGTCTCTTTTGTTTATTCTTTGTTTAAATCATACCTCTCTGCATTATTGCCTCTCTCTCCCTATTGTCTTTACTGTTATTTCCCTCCATTGTGTTCACTGCCTCCAGTCTCGTCCTCTGTTGTCGGGCAGACACCCTTCAAAACAGCTGCTGAATTCAATGGGTATATCCATTGATTTTCCATTCAGCCACATCAAATGGACCTTTTGCACTTAATGAACGCTCCGCCCATCTGTTTTAGCCTCATTCACACTTAGCCACTTAGCTCGTCTGTCACACTGCAGTGCACACAGATCCACCTTATTAGGCAATTACAGCTCCTGCTTTTAACCAAACACACACACACACACACACACACACAGTCTGGATGGCCCTTCGTCCTCCGTGTATTTCACCAGATTGGGTGGTTGTCTATGCCACGTGGTCTGGTAATGGAAAGTGAAGGAAAAGCACTGCAAAGACAACGCACTATGTGTGTGTGTGTGTGTTTATGTGTATATGTGTGTGTGCCCAGAATTGAACTGGCCCATAATTATGTGGTAAAGTTTTAGGGAAAAGGTTGAGTGTGTTTGTCTTACCTCTGGCACCGGAGCAGCTGCTGCTGCGTTGGTGTAAGTCTTGGTGTGTGTGTGTGTGTGTGAATGGTTCGGCCCTAGTGTTTGTGTGTTTATGAATTTGTGAGTGTGAATGTAATGAGTGGTGCACCTGAGGATACAGTGCTGCTAAGTGGGGCGAAGTGAGAATGACACTGGCCAGAAGCCTTCAGGGCTCCCAGTGGAGCAGGGCAAATGAGAAGACAGAAGATGGGATATGAAGGGTGAGAGTGTGTGTGTGTGTGTGTGTGTGCGTGCGTGTGTTTGTGTATGAATCATGAAAAAACTAGAAGAAAAGCAGACAGTGCAGCCGAGCTCCCCAGAACTCTGGGTGGCTACATTTGTGTGGCAGTGACTGTGAGGTTTTCTTGTAGTATTTTGTAACCATGTCTTTTTTTGGCTTGAGTGTGTGTGTGTGTGTGTTCAAAGCAGTGAGGTCCACACATTACATCAGGATGCACTGTGGTGTGTGTGGAACAGCAGGTCATTGTCGGGAGTGCACGCCAGTGTCACTCCCAATTAAGCTCTTCAGCTGCGAAAGAAAAACCCCAGCTTTACTGCTGCTAGGACTTGACAAATTCATGACATCTTGTTCATCCATATCTTCCATAAAGACTTTCATCAAGTCTTCATCAAACTCAGAGCTAAGACAGGGTAAATCTGTGCAGCACTGCCTGGGGAATAACATGACAGCAGCACAAAAACCTCTCCAACATTTGTGCTGACTACTTGCCAGATGCTGACGACTCCTCTAAATACCTTTAATGGACGTTCAGGGTCGTTCTTTTTCCAGCATAAAATAAATAAAGTCAATATATGTATAAAATCCGTTTAAATTAGAACTAATTTCCTTGAGTTTCCACAGACCCACAGCAGCTGCACACTTCACATATGAGCACAAATCTATCCATATGCAACTTCTTACAACTCCATCAGAGCCGGCTTATGTAACAGTCATTTCTCCTCCCTGTGCAGGTGGTGATGACACAAAGCAGACAGACACAGGTTTGGAGAGCTTTGACTTTTTCCACGACAAGGAGAAAGAGAAGGAGGACGACCTCCACAAATCCTACAATGACAGATCGTACCTGAGCTCCGAGGACATGGGGCCGGGGGAGAGTCGCTCCGGTGAGCAGCACAGACGGACCAAGTTTATGGCTTTAAAAATGTACCATTAAAACAGATGTAAAAATGACCCTGATCTCCTATTCTGCCCCCCCGCCTTCCCTGCAGATTTTGTGTCACTCTTGACAGGCAGCACGGGCCTGTGGAGCTCCAATGGCGTAGCCAGAGCTCGCTTCTCCCTGACCAGAACTAGCCTGGCCTTCTCCATCACATACCAGAGGTACTAGAAACGTCTTTGTGTCAGAAGTCACGTAATTTGTTGTGCTGTGGGGTTCAGCTGTTTCTCTTTTTCCAAAGCTAAGTATGAGATTCTGACACATCATCAGCGCTGACATTTGCGAGTGTTGCGAATGCCTGAAAAGAGTCCGTCTGCAATTTTTTAGTTGTGAAAGACCATTGTTTTATATTTCTTGGATTTTATTCCCCTCTTTCTAAGCAGAAACTGAGTTTTGTGTCACTCCGTAAATCCCTCAACACTTTTTACATCCACTCACGCAGAAGTTATTGTTCCTCTGCTGCCTCCATCGCTGAAATATAATACATTTTTCATGACATAAACAAGAAAACAGAAGATGTTAATTTGTCACTTACACTAAAACTACGATTTTCTCCCTAAATCCTCATAATGTACTTGCCATGATTGACTGTGCATTTTGTAAGGAGAGTCTCACTGTGGCATTTTATCATACAACCACATTAAAGTAACCTGAATTATGCCTTCGAGGTCTAGAGATTTGCCACAGTAATAGACCTGGCTATAGAAATCCAGCTGAAGAGAAATGTACCTGACAATAAATACCACTCATTGTTGTCTGCTCCTGCTTTGCAGAATGGATCGTCCCAGTAAAATAGCGTTCCTGGACTCAGATGGGAATTCTGCTTTTGAATATAGGGTCCCAAAGGGACAATCAGAAATGGTAAGACAACACGCAGAATAAAGAATTAAGGTGTAATCTTTCCTACCAACGTGTGGTAGGTGTAGGGTGACACATCCTACACCTGAATATTACACATATATGTCATATATGTCATATGACTCTTAACCCTAACTCTGATCCAATCATAACTCAAAACTAATCCTTAAACCTTAAAATATCTACTTACTCAGGGTGGACCTTCAAAATGCCAGAAAGACGTCAAAAGTCTCCGCACCGGGAGTAGTTTTAAAAAGAATTGTCCCCACACGTATAGCTATATCAGAAACAAACACACACTGACACACATGTCGAACGCCAAGTTTATTGATAGACCCCTACGATTGTAATGAATCAGTAATTCAGTCTGTAGGTGTGACAGCAGTACCAAAGTGTCCAGAATACCCAGAGTGCACCGCGACACACCATTTCCTGTACTTGTCTTTTCACTCCTCTGTTTAGCTGAGCAGGCCTTTACACACAGGGCCCAGCCAGGGCCGTGTTGTTATTATTATTACAACTTTCAGATAAATGTCAGTGTCAAGTACCGGAGGACCTTAGAGAGAAACCCTCCAACGAAATGGGAGACTGTTTTGGTGGAGAATATTTCATATGTGACATCACCACTCAGCAGAGAAATGCTCATATTAAATGAAGCGCCACATTTCTCCCACATGTTTGTGAAAAAGCATTAGTTTGACACTGAAGGTTTGATTCTTTGGAAAATAAATCAACAATTTTATTGTTGAAATCTTAAACAGAGTTTGAGTTTATGTTCCCATAAGAAAGAATGCAATATCCGTTCAGAATACTGCAGCTCTATATTCCTCTGTGTGTATGTGTGTGTAGATTTGTGGAGTGTGGAAGAACCTGGCCAAGCCTCTAATGCGACAGCTGCAGTCCGAACAGATGCGCGTCCGCATGACCACATCAGCCGGCCGACGAGAAGACGTGGAGGGAAAGATCATTAAACACAGAGCTCTGTTTGCTGGTGTGTGTGCATCATCATCATTATTTTTATTATTAATGTTATTATTATTTTTATTATCATGTAAGTCAGCTGAACTGCCATCGACCTGTAATTTACAACAAGGGTCCCTAACCCCAGGTCCTTAGGTCATTTGGTACAAGGCCGCAGTGGAGTACAGTAAAAAAATGTACTTCAATTTTACTAATTCATCCAAATATAATCCAGTCCTACCTCTTTACTTGTTTCATTAAAAGATACTCTGGCACACAGTAGGTCATTCAGAGTTTGACTTCTGATGCTAAAAGAATAAAGTCTCAAAGATGTTTTATTTTGAAAATTTAAAAATCCTTCAAGGATGGCGCAGTATTACCGATTCACAGTAACAGCTGATACCGGCCGACTGGTCCTTGGTACAGAAAAGGGGCAGCTGATTTTCAACACTCCTGATTAACAGACATGGTGTAAAAAATTGTCTCCCATAGCTCAGTATTGTTAACTCCTGCTTGTGTCTCACTGCGTTACTGAACAGAGACTTTCAGTTCAACATTGACATCCGAGGAGGAGAACTCAGGCATGGGAGGCATCGCCATGTTGACGTTGAGCGACACAGAAAACAACCTGCACTTCATCCTCATTATGCAGGGACTGATCGAGCACAAAGACAAAGGTGAGTGAGATGGAAGAGCTGGGGGAGAGAAGGGGGAGAGGAGGGGAGACCAGAGGAACAGCGTTAGAGAGATACTCCAGACACAATGGGAGTTCATGGGGTTAAAGTTAAATTAGAGAGTATTGGGATCAGCAGGGGGCTAAGGTTCAAATATGAAGTTATTTGTAATCCCAGTTAGTACATATTTTATAGATTTTTTTGCTTGGGTGTTAGTTAAACACAGTATTTTATTTATGCTGGGATTTACAGATTCTACTAGATTAAATACACTCAGCTGTAATTATAAACCTACAGTATGTTACTTTGATACTTGTTTTAATCACTTGGAAAAACACAACAGAGCAGTAAATACAGTATTGCAAATACATTTAAGAGTCAGACTGTAAATGTATAACAGTGTAATAATAATATATGACTAATATTAAAAATATAGTCAATAATCACAGTGCGTTTCAGACAGGAGGCGCTATCCTGACATGTGCAGCACTAACCCATGTTGATGTAATGTGACCATTGTCTTTTATGTGTCTTTCAACAGCACTGTTAACTGTCTTTTGTGAAGTGATATAAGTTCCCTAGAACTTTTGTCATAAATATTATCAAGCAATTCAACAAATTACAGCCTGGTACCAAAAGTAAACACTAGACCATATTATATTAACTTGAAGACGGATGAGTCATGATGTGTCACCAAATTTTAATAACCCGTCTGGGAAAAAGCCACAACGACCAGAAACATTTAATTAGCCTTTAATTAATTTTGTTGCAGAGTGAGATTTATGAACTTTTCCAATTGTGGGGGAATTTTTTTGAATTTTTTGAGTGTCAACACTGGGTAAACACATCTTTCTGCTTCCTTAGAGCTCCTTGTAGTACCCATCAGTGTCCAGCTCGTATACCGCCAACACATCCTGAGAGAGGTCCGAGCCAACGTCTCCACTCATGTGAGTAATAACCTTCACATTTTCCCAACACAAAGCTCCAGGGACCAGTGTCTGCAGCAAACCTAGTGATCTGTACAATTAGGCTTCAAACCTAAAGTGACCTTAAAAACTATCATTTCTCCTGAATCACATGGGAAAAGTGTTATCTGAAGGGGGAAGAGGAGGAGGAGGAGGAGGAGCAGTGTTGTTGTTGCTGGTTAGGAACATATGACACAACAACGCCCCCCTCAGTCACCCGCCCCACCTTCCCTCTCTAAGACGGATGTGTTTTGGTCACCACATCCTCACCGCTCTTGTCGCCACCGATGCTCTGATCATAGTTAATGACTCCGAGACATGATAAGGACGATGGACGGAGACGACGGGAAGAGAAGATGATGAGAAAAAGGGAGACAGGGGGCGAAATAGAGAGAGAAAGTGTGTGATAGGAGCGTTCGCAGGACAGCAATGTGAGCAAAGGATGAGCGATACAGGAAAAAGGAGGGAGGAAGGGAGGTAGAAAGGATGGACTACGTACACACTCCACACACATGTCAGTGGTTAGTGGTCTGTGGGCTGAGATGGATGGAGGGAGGAAGGAGGGGAGGGAGTGATGAAAGGCGGGCCTGTTTTTAATTCTGCCAGGAATTGCATGAAGAGCCGAAGCAACCCTTTCAAAACCCAGCGGAGAGAAAGAAAGGGTGAGAGAGAGAGAGAGAGAGAGAGAGAGAGAGAGAAAGACTGTCCACAGAAAAAGTGGAAAAGTAAAATAGTCTGTGCATGAAAAGTTTGGAGCTCGCCTCCAAACTGCTGAGTCACTTCAACGGACGCTGAGTCACACATACGTGTACAAACAGAGTGCACAGATATTTTTTTCAAAACTTAAAACTTGGAGCTTAATGGAAAAAAGTCACAAATTCAACCTGAATGTGTGAAGCTGTTTCACAGGACACGTAATCCTGACAATTACTGCTCCTCCTGATTTATACAAGACCTGAATATATCCTTCCTCACCTCACTTCTCCCTCATTACCCTGTCCGTTCATTTCCTCAAATATAAGTCACCCTCCTCGCTCTCTCTCCCTCTGCCTCCCTCTCTCGCTCTGTCTTGGCTTCTCACTGTGTGGATTTATGGTACATGTATATTTATATTGAACCCAGGCCCTGAGGTCATAAAAGTAACATTTCTTCAACACGCTCGTACATCTGTCCTATTAATCCAACTTTTCTGAGTCCTGAGTCCCACAGTGCAGCCTGCCTGTGTGAAACATGTTATGGCAGTTTGAAGACTGGGGTATAAGAGTGCACTTTGTGATTTAAACAACGCGGTTTTATGGAACACAAGAGTTTGAGGTTGCAGTGGTTCCTGACTTTGTGATTCCTCCATGATTCATGAATTCAAGTTATCTAAAGAATTGCTGACCTGGGATCTGTCAGTTACTTTGCACTTTTAATTTTAAACTGATCTTTTTTTTCACCCGCTACAGCTGAGGTCTCTTATCTATTTCCGTAGAGAAATGTGGCCACTTTTGTTTCTAACTTATTTTTCTTGGGTGAAATGTTTTATGCAGCTAAAACCACAGGTTAAAAATGACACAAAAAACCCCAGGTCGATTGTAAATCCTACCCAATACTGTAGACACAAACGGACACACTCTAAGTTAGGTTAATGTTTTCTAACTCGATTCATAATAGCGCTTAACTAACTCTAAAAATATTTTTCATCTTTTTCAATATTTTTAATTCAGTTCTCCAAAATAAATCAATTCAAAGTCTAAAATATTTGTCCTGCCCTGTATGTCATGTATTGATCCCAGAGACAAATACATGATTAAGACAATTGCATATATATTCAGTTAAAACGCAGTCTCTCCAAATATCAAATAATAATTAATATAATTGCATATATATTCAGTTAAAAAACGCAGTCTCTCCAAATATCAAATACCCAGACAAAACTTGAGATGCAGAGACAACTTAGTGGAATTCTGGCTCTTGAATTGACAAAGTGTTGTGGGAAAATAGAAATATTCCTACATTTACTCCCCGAAATCTGAGTCTAAGAGTCCCGGTCAGTGTGCCAAACCCCTGGATTAGTCATCACTGTTAGGCTGTAAAAATATTTATCAAAACTCTAACCAGAGTAGTTGACTGAAAGCAGCTTGAATGCTGTGGTTAAAATGGGATCTTAAAGATAAGGGGTTTTATTTTTCACTAACAGCTGACCCACATTTCTTATCTCACGCCTTCACCATCTGTACAGGATCCAGACTTTGCTGAGGTGCTGACGGACCTGAACAGCCGAGAATTGTTCTGGTTATCACGTGGTCAGCTGGAGATAGCTGTGGTGACGGAGGGCCAGGATCCTCGACAAATCTCTGGCTTCATTACTGGCAGAAAAACCTGTGACAGTAAGTTCTGTAGCATAATAAACACCTTGCTGCTCCTTGTTCTTCCAGTTCCTCTCTTTTTTCCATCTAGGAACTGTTTAAGCCAGTTGTTTCTCAACACCCTGGTGCAACAAACAAAACGGCCCGCTGAGAATGTGTTTTGTGTTGTACGTGTGTGGCTGTTTTTGTCATTCCTCTCTGTAAATACTTCTGTTTTTCCACCCAAAATCCTTTTAAGTCTTATCGCTGGGGAAAAAAACGTGTTTATAGACCTCCTGTCGGACTTGGTGGCCCACCAAAGCTGTGCATGCATGTCAGCATGTGTGTGTGAGAGATGCAGAAAGAGAGAGAGAGACAGAGGTTTCAGGAATGTTGTGGACAGAACAAATGTCTCAACCATAAAAACACACATGGTCTTTTCATTGGACGCATATTTGACCGTGATCGTTTAACGCTGAAATGCAGTGCAATCAGCAAAACACTTTTAAAGGTGTTCATCCATCCATCAATCTATTTATATGTCCATCTTGCTGTCTGTCAACATCAAAAGAGACATTTTTTATCATTTTACCAAAGTTGGACAAACATTTTGACGTTTAAATGTAGTTTAAACGTCACATGGTGAATAATATAGAAACCTTGTATAGCACAGGAAAAAAACAAGGTACACATTTCTACAAAAATAGAAATTTTACATTTAATTTAAGGTAAAAGAAATAACTGTAACACTGTTTTGTTTTGTTAGCAACAACAAAAACACAAATTTAAAATGGCCTCAAACACAAATTTCTGCAAAAAGAGAAAAATCTATTCAACATTCATAGATAAGTCGGTGCCTGCAGACAATGAACGATGCAATTTATTCAGTGCCTTGGTTGAATTTGGTCTGCTCACAAAAAAATTAACCATCGTCCTACAAGAATACAAAAGAGACACATGTGGCCCAGGAGCTATGTTGTTTGGTACCATAGACTTTGGAGTTATCTCTTTTTATTCTCTCTGTATTTTCATCCTGCAGAAGACCTGACATGTTTCACTCACTTAAAAAGAGTTCCCTTCTGGCGACAATATCTGTACAGTCTGTAAAAGGCCTGGACTCTTTATGAAACATACACTCACACACCGCTGCTGCCAAGGTCACGGTCTGCTGGACCTGACTCTTTGCCGCCGCTCCAGTGCTGTGATTAACAGCTTGACGTTATGTGCGAAGAATTTCGAACCCGACTCACTTCTCACTCTCCCTCTAAGCTATTCTTTTGCTTTCTTGTCTTTCTTTCATTCTGTCTATTCCTCCATCCAGTTCCATCTCTTCTTCTAACGTCCTCTGCAGTTCATGTATCTGGAGCCAAGCTTGTCTTTCTTTGGCTTGAGGTGACAGAGAGCGTTTCTCCTCACTTTTCTCTGTTAGTCATTCCCTCCTGTCATGTCAGCTCAGTCTTTTTAATCCTGCTGCATTCAACAGGGGTTACCTCATTCGAAAGCTTAACCTTGGGTGGGTTTCTGGATGTGCATGCGTGAAAGTGTGTGTGAGTATGAATATGTGTGCGTGTGTGTGAGAGAGAGAGAGAGCGACAGAGAGAGAGAGCAGCAGTCACTGATTCAACATGTATGCATTTGGCTCAAGGTCGCGCACAATTACACGAGCAGAGACGCCTCCTGATTAGTGGTTCAATTTAGTCTGTCCGCTCAATGACTCCGTGCTGTTAGAGGAATGACATTATGGGTATGTGGCTACAGTGTGTGTGTGTGTGTGTATGTGTGTGTGTGTGTGTGTGTGGCTTAAGTAATTTAAAGGGAAACATATTGTGCTTCCCCCTCTTCTGTCATTCAACCGAGCAGTGAACCTTTACGGAACAGAAATCGTTTTCTTATTTCTCACGCTGTCAGAGTCCATTGTGGTGTGAGATAGTTCTACATTAGGGTTGTGGGGTTCTGTGTTTTTTTAAGTAATATATTTAGAAATTCTTATAGTTTTACAAATGTCCTGTAATAGAGCATTTTATATTTGAGTCTGAACCTGTTTTTGGGTCTCCAGCTCTCCAGAGTGTGATGTCCAGTGGTGATGCACTGACACCGAGCAAAACAGGGGGCGTGGGCTCTGCTATCTTTAGCCTCCATGACAACGGAACGCTGGATTATCAGGTAAGGTCACATACATTCACACACACTAAGTAATGCATCTTGATTCTAACCAATACATGGCTGATCTAAAGAAATACATTTTGGCTGTTCGTGCAGGTCCAGGTTGCCGGCGTCACCAGTGATGTGGTCGGGCTCACGATTGAACTGAAGCCAAGGCGCCGCAACAAGCGCTCGCTTCTTTATGACCTAACACCCGAGTTCAACAAGGCCACAGGTCGGGCCGTGGGCAGCTGGAGTCGCCTGGAGGCCCGGCACATCCACATGCTGCTGCAGAACGAGCTCTTCATCAACGTGGCCACAGCGCACAACCAGGATGGGGAGCTGAGGGGACAGATAAAGGCCCTGCTCTACACCGGCCTGGAGGCGCCCCGACATGGTGAGAATAGCTGTCGTCTAATAAAGGAGGTTTCACAAAAGGAAGAAGAAGAAATATGTTTGAACCCCTACTTGCACTCACACTCTCCTTATGCTGTTCTCCTACAGAACTACCCACTCTTCTCGCTGGTCAATATGTGTCTCCACCAGTACGAACCGGTGCCTCCGGCCACGCCTGGGTCTCAGTGGACAAACAGTGTCATTTGCATTACGAGATCGTTGTCACAGGCCTTAGTAAAGCTGACGACCTGACTATGAACGCCCATCTACACGGGTTGGCTGAGATTGGTGAGATGGATGACAGCAGCGCCACGCACAAGAGACTGCTGACCGGCTTCTACGGGTCACAGGTATGTTAAAGCAGAGCTGATGATGTCACAGCAGGATCTGCCTCCTTCATCATCTGCTCATCATCTACTTATATGGTTTTTTTTAAGGCCCAAGGAGTGTTGAAGGACATCAGTGTTGAATTACTGCAACACCTGGATCAGGGAACAGCCTTTATACAAGTCAGCACTAAACTCAACCCTCGAGGAGAAATACGAGGAAAGGTAATGTATACTCGATTGAATTTGTTTTTTTTAGCATAAAGAGAATTAATAAAATAGAAAAAAAAGATTTTGATATTTCATAAAGCCACACATTTTAAAGATAAAGCTTTTGACCTTCTTTTGCACCCTAAAGTATAAATCCACACATTTTTACTCATTGCAGTCAATCATCACAGCAATCTGTTTTTTACTGCAGGTCTCACCTACAGCGTATCAAACTGACCTCATATAACTGCAAAAGTAAAACACAACTGCGTTACAATAACAACAAAACATTTCACAACCTGACAATAAACAAAAACTACTGTAGTCTGTACGGAAGACGGGCGTTTTTTACCGTTGTCCTGATAGTCGTTCCAGTCATGCGTCTGAAAACTAGGAGAGTAATATGTTTCTGTTACCTAAACTAAAACAGATTATAAAATGCTTGCTTTATCCTGGACATAAAGGGGCTGATGGTTCAATGATGCTTCACTGTGTAAGTTTTGGTTATTTATAAAACATATAAAAATAGCCTGAACAAAAACCAAGCCAGATTGATAGTACTGTTTCTCTGGTACTTCACTCCCTCCATTAATTTTTTTTATTTGTCTGTGCAATTATTCTTTTCACTGGCACAAGCTGAAAAGTCTATTTTTACACACAAACTAGAAGAACAGTTGCCCATAAACCCCTGTGCAGATTTGAAGGTGTAGTGGCTGATAAGCTTGTTGTTGAACAGAACACAGCGCAGTTTAACGGCAAACAGGCCTCGCACATAAACACACCATCTGCTGCACAGTACAGGGGTGAGTGCTTCTACAAACAACTCAAAAGACAAGCTAACACCTGTCTGCAGTCAGATGTGGCTAACACACCTCCCGAAACCCTGCGCTGCTTCAACATCACCCTTTTGCCTCTGCAGGTCCACATACCAAACAACTGCGAGTTTGGAACCAGAGGAGACATGGAGGAGGCTGAATTTGATGACCTCTTTGTGAAGGACCCTGAGGAGCTGAAGAAGGATCCTCACACCTGCTTCTTCGAGAACCAATACCACGCTCACGGCTCCCGCTGGATACCAAGCTACGACAAGTGCTTCTCCTGCAGCTGCCAGGTAAAGACCAAATGAAAACCGCATCAACATGAAAAAATTTATACTAAATTTGGGATTTTTTTTTTTAATTAAATTATAGATGAACAGTTAATTAGTCCACCCTGTCTGAGAAACTAGTCTGATCTTTTACTTGTGCCCTCTGCAGAAGCGAACAGTGATCTGTGACCCAGTCATCTGTCCAGTCTTGACCTGTTCTAAAACCATCCAGCCTGAGGACAAGTGCTGTCCTGTCTGTGACGGTGAGAAACGCATCTGACAAAACCATTTTCCTCTACCTCACTCCAATTCCTGTTCCTGTTTCCACAAAACCCACAATCTAAGTTGAATTACTGAAAATAAAATATGTATATATAATATATAATTTAAAAATTCTTTGCAGAGCGGAAGGACCCCAAGGACATTAAAGCTCCAGAGAGAGTGGATGAAAATCCTGATGGTGTGTACCGTCACTATTTCTTAAAGTTTTCTCTCTAAAACCTTCATCACGTGCACATCAGTTCAGTGATCCTCACTGGTGACCTCTTCATTCTTATTTCTTTTCTTCTCTCAGGTTGTTATTTTGAAGGAGATCAGAAGATGCATGCCCCGGGGACAACATGGCATCCCTTTGTGCCTCCTTTTGGCTACATTAAATGTGCTGTCTGCACCTGCAAGGTAAACATCACATCAACCAATGTATCCAAAATAATTTATTGTTCGTTTGCTTTTTTTTTTAAGTAAAAGTAAGTGTTGTGTTGTTGTTATGTTTGGTTTTTTAGTAAAAGTAAGTGTTGTGTTGTTGTTAATCTGCTGTAAATGGTTCATTATCTTCATAGGGCTCCACAGGAGAGGTTCACTGTGAGAAGGTCACGTGTCCAGTGTTGACCTGCAGTCATCCAGTGAGACGTAACCCGTCTGACTGCTGCAAAGAGTGTCCAGAGGAGGACAGGACACCAGCTGGGCTGGAGCACAGCGACATGATGCAGGCGGACGGGCCTCGACACTGCAAGTTTGGAAAGCACTATTACCAGAACAGTGACAATTGGCACCCATGGGTGCCCCTAGTGGGGGAGATGAAGTGCATCAACTGTTGGTGTGATGTGAGTACTGATTAGTCCTGGTGCCACCCCATTGAATTAATGACTCCAGATGTGAGTCTTCCTACTATTTCTTCTTCTCCATTACTTCCTCCTTCCTCCTTTCTTCTTCTTCTTTCTTTTTTATTACTGCATGCTACTTTTTTTGGTGAAGAATGCAAAGTGTTTTGGTGTGATTTAGGGTTTTGTTTTCTTTTGTTTCTTTTGTTATTTCTTTCATATTTACTCTATTTATGTGTGTTTTCTTTTTCTTTAGCATGGAGTGACCAAGTGCCAGAGGAAGCATTGTCCTGTAGTGACATTAGCAACCTGCTCCAACATCACCCGCAAAGAGGGCTCCTGCTGTTCAGAGTGCGGTGGTGAGTATTAAATATACAACAGTCTCTTCACAAGATAGATACTACAATAAAGTAAAATTACAAAAAAGTTGGATTGTTGACATGATTTAGGATGCAGAAATAATAAATTATAAATAATAATTAAAATAAATTTTGATCCTCTACTTAATCCATCAGTCATAGAGAAATATACATTTATTGTTTATGTTTTTGAGATGCAGAAATAATTAATTTAATAATTAAAATAAATTTTGATCCACTACTTAATCCATCAGTCATAGAAAAATATACATTTATTGTTTATGTTTTTGTAAATTCTTAATAGATATACTGTAGTAATAAACACTGTCACACAGATAAGGAGACGGAAATAGTTGTTGCAAATGCTCTGTGTTTTTCCCCTGGATTTTGTTGCTGGACATTGGAGGGTGAACACATTGCCCAAATAACATTCCACTCGGACAAAGCTCAGTTTTCAGTTGGATAAAAAAAATACTGAGAGGGAGAGCAAAGAAATATTTTTAGTTGGTGCTGTCTTACAGTGGATTAGCCTTATCTTGTGCCCACTTGTGCAGCTGTTTCACGTTAGAAACTCACATAACTCTGTTTTAAAATTGTAAATAATCACTCATTCAAGTCAGTTGCAGTAATGGATTTGACAAGGTGCTGTAGCATCCACATATTTTCCACAACTCCAAAGTGAGAGACAGTCAGGGTTGGACACAAACTGAAGTTTATCTGTTACTCAATGGATTTCATCAGATGATTATACGATTCCGATTTTACGGACTAAGTCCTCACTAATTCTTTTGGTCTCGTCAGATTCCAAAGAGGAGGACCAGGACCATCCCATGATGAAAGTTCCAGACAAAAGGCGGACCTGGAGACAATGATCTTTCATCGCTTATCTAATATTCTTGGATGAACCTGAACCCAGAGCCTCTTTGGGTTTTTCCCACCTGCCCTCACTCTTCAGCTTACACCCACTCTGTCATCAGCATCAGGATTGTAACCAGACGGAGGAATGAAAAATTAAAACAAAAAAAAAGAAAGAAAAAAAAAAGAAAACAGACTCAACTGAGAAAGAGATGAAGCTCCAAACCATGGGACCAACCAGACACCTGTTGCCTTCTGCTTTTCAAGTTGCTGGGATTTTGATTCCCTTCTTCACTTTTGTTTGTCTAAGCCGCTCCACAGATCCTAAGGCGTAGAGTTTATAACAAATAAAATATGGAAAATGGGAGAATTTTTAAACAGGAAATGTTTGTAAGACTGAATATGACATTGATGGAGCTTCTTATTAAAGTGCAGCTAGAGCTAGCTAGCGCGCCCACTGGACAGAGTGTTGATTGCCTTATTGTATGTGAATGTGTGTGTGTGTGTGTGTATGTATGTGATGCCGAAATACAGAACCAGGCAAAGTACCATCAGTACAGTCAGACTACAGTCTTCACTGCTGTGGGTGGAGGAAAACCAGGCTTTTGTGCAGTTCCAGCTTCATCTTCACCTCGTTCAAGAACTCTGCTTTAACTGTTCCTAATGCTGATTTTTCAAAATAAGTAATATTTTATGAAAAATGAAGCCGATTTGTATTTTTGTATTTATTAAATGCTGTGGAGACGAAATAAAAAAAGGATGTTTGTTGGTTTTAAATAAAAATGCCTGTGGATTTATTTTGGAAGTTAGCCACAACTCTCTGAATCCTTTCATCCAGCATTTAGTTTTTAATTTTCTACTTCTTTCTCACAGCTATTCACACATGGACCGATGACAGGACACTTATACTATCACTCTGCGTTTTCCATTTTTGTCTAGTGGCCACTTCAGCATCTTATCAACCCCCTTCGTCTTCTCCTACAATTCTCTCTCATCTTCTCTGATCTCTTTACACCACATGTCCACGTCGTTTCCTTCATACCTCATCCTTCTTTTCTACTGTTTTTCTTTTACTTCTTTTGATTG